CAAGTCACTGATTCAGAAATATGCACATGCTTCATCCAGCTGCAAATAGTTTCCAATGTTGAAAGTAATACATTGTGATGATTAGAGAAGGCCTGTGATCTATTTACTGGTATACCTGTAAAACTAATCTATGAGTTGCTAGCACCATTCATCAGCGTCAGGGTAACTTTGTTTCCATTTGGTATGCAAAGCTCCTAAACTGTTCAACCTGAATGAATATAATACAATGGGTGCTAAGTGAAAATAACTAATCAGAACAAAAACTTGCTCATAAGCATTTCCATGTGTCAGAGACATGGAAGACTAACAAAGGAATATCAAAACTAGAAACTATATGCCAGCATACAGCAGTAGCCTGCCCATGTTATATACAGTTGTGGCCAAAATTATTCAACCCCCACTGAAATTGAGTGTTTTGGCCAGTTTGACATTGCTTTTGATCATTCAGTCATCTTGCTTACATTTACATTAAAGAGGCACTTGTAGGTCAGACAAATATAACATAACAGTTATAATGAAATAACCACAAATGTCTTTTCTGTGCTCACAGCATTATCAGTTTTATTCAACCCCCAAGTGACATTCAATCTTAGTACTTAGTACAGCATCCTTTTACAGTTATAACAGCTTTTAAACGTGAAGCATAGCTTGACACAAGTGTCTTGCAGCGATCTACGGGTATCTTCGCCCATTCTTCATGGGCAAAGGCCTCCAGTTCAGTCACATTCTTAGGCTTGCGCACTGCAACTGCTTTCTTTAAGTCCCACCAGAGGTTCTCAATCGGATTTAAGTCTGGTGACTGCGATGGCCACTCCAAAATGTTCCAGCCTTTCCTCTGCAACCATGCTCTAGTGGACTTGGAGGTATGCTTGGGATCATTGTCCTGTTGAAAGGTCCAACGTCTCCCAAGCCTCAGGTGTGTGTGACGGACTGCATCACGTTTCCATCCAATATCTCCTGGTACTGAAGAGAATTCATGGTACCTTGCACACGCTGAAGCTTCCCTGTACCTGCAGAAGCAAAACAGCCCCAAAGCATGATTGACCCTCCACCATGCTTCACAGTAGGCAAGGTGTTCTTTTCATCATAGGCCTTGTTCTTCCTCCTCCAAACATAGCGTTGATCCATGGGCCCAAACAGTTCTAATTTTGTTTCATCAGTCCACAGAACACTATCCCACAACTTTTGTGGTTTGTCCACATGGCTTTTGGCATACTGCAGTCGACTCTTCTTATTCTTTGGAGACAGCAAGGGGGTACGCCTGGGAGTTCTGGCACGGAGGCCTTCATTACGCAGTGTGCGTCTTATTGTCTGGGCTGAAACTTCTGTACCCACATCTGACAAATCTTTTCTCAGTTCCTCAGCAGTCACACGGGGACTTCTCTCCACTCTACGCTTCAGGTAGCGCACAGCAGTCGAAGTCAGCATCTTCTTTCTGCCACGACCAGGTAGCGTTTCAACAGTGCCCTTTGCCTTGAATTTGCGAATGATGCTTCCTAAGGTGTCTCTTGGTATGTTTAACATCTTTGCAATCTTCTTATAGCCATTGCCCTTCCTGTGAAGAGAAATCACCTCTTCTCTTGTCTTCCTGGACCATTCTCTTGCCTTCACCATGTTTGTAACCACACCAGTAAATGTCTAGAAGGAGCTGAGTATCACAGTCATTTTAAAGCTGCCTAATTGGTGCTTATTATGCTTGATTGCTGCTCGGTGACATCCACAGGTGTTTTCAATACCTGATGGAAAGCACCTGTATGAACCTCTGTTCTTCAGAGTGGTAGTCTTTAAGGGGTTGAATAATTGTGGCAATGAAGAAACCACATAAGAACCATTTACTACTGTATTACATAAACAATTGATGTCATTTTAGTTGCATTTGGGTAGTTACAACGTCCTTGTAGGATTTGATTCTGAATACAATTCCAAATGTACACTATAGTCCCTAAACCCCTTTACAGCATTGGGGGTTGAATAATTTTGGCCACAACTGTATGCCCAAATTGCCTGCCATGTTATATACAACACATTGTTGACTAACTCGAATAAGTCCAATTATATATTTAATATGCTATTGATACAATAAAAGGAACCCCCAAACATTTGAACAAATTGCATAATGTCATTGAATCAATAATTTTCTATCAATGTTGAAAGAGTTCGGTCTTAAAACAGCAATATACTAAAATGGTAGCTGAAATATAAACAACAGACATATCTAATGTCAAGTAATAAAGCAGATGAATGGTTTTGTGATTAGAATCTTTCATTGTATAAATCTGTGAAATAAGCTCGTGAGGAATCGCTGATAGAAAACAGACTGTTCTGTGTGCTATTGATCAACCTGTTTGAAATGTTCTTTCCTGTGCTTAAAGCCAAGAAACACTACTTTGAAATATGCAACTTGCTACTGAAGGCTTCATCAAGTACTTCAACAATTAAATGTAGTACAACAATAAAATATATTATTACTACATACCTGGCCAAAAACATGCAAAGAAATAAAGCCATATGAAAACACATTGGTTTAGTTGTTTTAAAAAAGGTATGAAACACATTGGATGTATGAAGTTTCTTTTAAATTGGACTGCATTAAGCAGCACACACTTCCAGTAACAGTTTGACATATAATTAACGTGAGCTGGAGGTCTATTGTCTGCCAGTGGCAGGTGCACAGTGAACCCTACACTCATCTATTGATATTTTTTTTTTTTGCTAGATTCCCCTTCAGAACTCTTTTGAATGGTAGGACTTGTACTGGGAAGCCAATCAAAACAAACAGTATTGTCACATCATTAGCTTCATTGGTTCACAAATAATAAAAACATAGTTTTGATTTCAGCTCAGTATGGTTTCTCAGCTCTAGCATCAGATGAGCACTTTGTCCAGGTGCCCCATTTTATGCATGCATGTATGGGACCAAATGCTGATGTCTCACTAGGAGATCTTGCTGTGGGATTTGTTGATGTTTCGTGACCTTCACTAAAAATGAAAAATGAACACTGCATGGCTGGATTTTTACTGACCATATAGCCATTTACCAGCAAATTCCAAACGTGCAAATAATAATCACACATCATTATAAAAAAAAATAAATCAACTTGATAAGCAACCCTATAATCAACTCAATTCTTCAAACAAGCAGAATTTAAGACCTGTTTACAGACCACTGCCTCCCTTCAGGTGCACCCCACTACTTTGTACACCAGCACAGGAGAGGTCTATAACATTATTTTAGATGGAACTATTCACCCTTTGGAGCAAAACATTTTGACTACTTGTCAGATACCCCCTTCTGTTGGGCTACCTATTCAAAATAATATGCCCTCCAAACCTACCAAAAAATTCAAGGCTAGTTGTATGAGACAAGTTTCCACTGCAGCTCAACATTCCATGCCAAAAAAAAAAAACACCTCAAAAGAATATCACAATCTGTATGATCATTCTTTATGCTTTTTCTTGGACTTTAGAATTGCTCATCCAGTATTATTGCAGTGACGTACTAAGAGAGGTGCTGTTTATATGTTGCTGCAGTGCCAAAGGTATTATCCCCACAGCATTTCTTTTCCCCATCTGACAGCTATTGTTTCGAGCAGAAACAGTAATCTGAGGGTTAAGATCTGTTCTGAAAGGAGGGATCTACATTAAGGAAGCTGGAGTCTGTACTAAGGGGTTAGACTGGGGGAGGGTCTGTACTGGGGGTTAGGCTGAAGGGGAGGATATCTAATTTAGATTAGGCTGGGAGGGGAGGTCTGTACTGTGGAGAGAGATCTGTACCTGGGTTTAAGCTGGGAGGGGTGGCTGTATTGGGGTGAAGGGTCTGTACTGTGGGTTAGACGGGGGAGCGAGGGGGTCTTCATTGGAAAAAGGGATTTGTAGTGGGGGTTAGGCAGGAAAAGATGGTTGAAATGGGAGGGTGATCTGGAGCTGCGGGAGATATGGGCTTTTGGGTGGGGGTTATTTGAAAAGGAATGATGAGTCATTTTTGGTTGTATTCTGTAAAGTGGTCTGTGCATTACCCAAACCTAACCTCTGCTATCTGCGTAATATGCACTGAAGTCTGTACTCACTGCGTTACTCACTTCTGACTCCTGCATTCTCTACATTACACACATGTGAGCCCGGCATTCCCTGCATTACACACTCCTGAACCCTGCATTATCTGTGTTATTCACTCCTGACCTCTTTACTCTGTTATCCCCTTTTGACCCCTACATTCTCTGCATTATTTGCTCCTGTTCCCTGCATTTTCTGCATTATGCATGCTCCTGCATGACTGTGTGTTATCCATTCCTGACCCCTATACCCTGTGCATTACTCACTCCTGAGCCCTGCAGTACAAATACTACATTGTACATTTCATACTTTTGACCACTCTATACGCAGGGTTTTATATAACATACTCCTGACTGGTCTTTAAATACAAAATATACTATTGAAGTTAATTTTAATGTAGGCTGTGTGTAGATAAGCATATGTAATGAAACAGTTTAATTTTTTAAAAATTAATGTTCTAAGGTTTGTACATATCTGTTAGATTCTCATTTGTGGACCAGTAATGAAAGTATATTTTGTGGGTACAGGGACTGCCTTTTTACGGTTTTAATAAACCAGACCCTTTTAAATCTCTTTCATTGTTAGTAAAACTGGACATACCCACAATTTGGCACAGCCCACGCAGCTTTTTATTCCTACAAGTAAATTTTTTAGTGCCGAGGGAGTAGGTTAAAAAAATGATTGCCCAGAGTGCCAGATATACTAGGTATACCAATGCATATTTGCACACCCCAACCCTTTTTTTTTACCTTTCCCCCTCCATGTTGCCTCATTGACCTTATTCAAATTTATTGAGTTTTCCCACTGTGATGTTCAGCCTTTTTTCCAAGTACCGAGGGCAATCCTGCAATCAATAAAGTTTGCAATACAGTGTTTTAACCGCCTCCCGCCCGTCATATAGTAAAATGATGGAAGCAAGGCTGTTCTCTCACTCTAACCGCTCATACATGGCTCCGGGAGCGCGCAGCACGGCGACCGGTGGTGCGCTGTGTCCCTCGGACACAGCGGATCACCGATCCACGGAAAGAGCCGAAGATGTCGGCTTAGCCATGTGATCAGCTGTGTCCAATCACAGCTGATCACATGTAAACAGGGAAATGCCGGTTATCTGCAATGCTCTCCCCACGAGCTGTCATGTTGACAGCTCGTGGGGAGAGGAGAGCCGGTAGTCAGCATTCCTCGGAGGGGACATGTACACAGATCATCAGACACTGATGATCAGTGTGCCCTGATGATCTGTGAAGCCCCAGCAGTGCCACCTGTCAGTGTCCATCAGTGCCAGCTCTCAGTGCTCATCCATGCCACCTGCCAGTGCCCATCAGTGCCACATTTCAGAGCCCATCAGTGCCACATCAATGCCACATATCAGTGCCCATCTGAGCTGCCTTTCAGTGTCACCCATCAGTGCCAGTCAGTGCCACCTATCAATGCCAGTCAGTGCCACCTATCAGTGCTGGCAATCAGTGCCAGTCAGTGCCACCTATCAGTGTGCATCAGTGCCGCCTATCAGTGCCCGTCAGTGCTGCCTATCAGTGCCGTCTAACAGTGCCAGTCAGTGCCACCTATCGGTGCTGCCTATCAGTGACACCTATCAGTGCCGACTATCAGGGCCATATATGAGTGCTGCCTTTCAGTGCCCATCAGTGATGCCTGTCAATGACCACCAGCGCCACCTATCAGTGCTTCCTCATCAGTGCCCATCAGTGCCACCTATCAGTGCCCATCAGTGCAGCCTATCAGTGCTCATCAGTGCAGCCTCATTAGCGCACATCAGTGAAGGAGAAACATCACTTATTTACAAAACTGTATAACAAAAACTAAGAAAAAAACTTTTTTTTCAACATTTTCAGTGGTTTTTGGTTTAAGAAAAAAAAACCCAGAGGTGATTAAATACCACCAAAATAAAGCTCTATCTGTCACAAAAAAATGATAAAAATGTTATATGGCTACAGTGTTGCACGACCACGCAATTGTCATTCAAAGTGTGACAGCGCTGAAAGCTGGAAATTGGCCTGGGCAGGAAGGGGGTATAAGTGCCCTGTAGGCTAGTGGTTAAACTATGATTGCAACCATTCTCCATCTCTATAGATTGTTTGTTTTCCTCATAAAAGTCCACTGGGAATGCTGCTGTCAGTTGGTTTTATTTTCTATGTTCCATTTCTCTAACTAGTTATAGCCATAAAAGAAACAGTAAAAATAAAAAAATATAATTATTAGATTTGGATAGCTAGTAACTAAACCATTAACACTGCAATTCTTCACTGACTACTGAGACATTCCATTTCAATGTAATTAATCTATTTGCTCATGCTTTCTGTCCTGCCACCATGCCATAACTGGTTCCCAGTCAAGGATGAATCCAGCACAGGCAGGAAATATAGGGCGGAAGTTCATTACAGGGCATCTTCAGTAGTAAGTGAAATCAGCTCCTTTATCATCCACATGATAACTTTTGGGATGAATACTTTAAAACATTGGAACTATTGTATGTGTACTGTATTCTTTGATAATCCATAAGAGTCAGTGATGATTCTGATTCTCACTTAACCTTAAAAAAGGTGACAGAGCTTTTTTAAACTATTTTTTTCAGAATGGAAGGATGGTGAAAACCTTATTTAACTCTGAACTGATTTCCTACAGATGTTCTTGTCTGTTCTCCAGAAAGTGATATTTGGAACCTTTCCTGGATTGTCACTGAATTAGAACATCAACAAACACCTTTTCCTTCTTTGGAACCATCAAGTTCTTTCTGCAGTATATAGAAGGAAGAAGCCAATTTCAACTCAGCAGGGAGCATATTTCAGATTCCAACATTCCCAGTGGCTTAATTAATGTGAATTGTCAATGTACAAAACAAAGGAATGATTAGAATCACTTTCATTGTACTGTAGATCCATGATGTCATCAGAAAGAGTCAGCCTCACAAAGAAATGATTCCAAAATGGAAAAAAGTAGGCAAGAAAAGGCCATCCTAAATGAGCACATCTAGTTTCAAAGAAGTTTTATTAATGTATGATCAATCTACAATCCTGCATTAATAGGTGAGACACGTCAAATGTTACAGTAAAACAGATAGACATCATTAACATAATATGCTTGGGAAGTCTCTCTCCAGTCACGTCAATAATTAAAACCATACATGGTATTAGTTAAGCATTCAAAGCATGTGTAAAGGCTTTGATTTAACTTCTTTCCTTTTCTCCCAAATGTGTGTATTTTTGGAATGTGCCTCTGTACAGTATAATTTTTTGGAAGATCTCCACATCAACAGGAAAAATGTAATAACATCCATCTTTAATGAAAAAGAAATGTCTGAAATTGTATCTGAGGTCAAGTATGAGTTTGTGACGCCTTTTGATTTTTTTTTTACTTATTATACTCAAGTATGGAAAAGGCAAACTATAATAAACACATTCTTTTAACCTACAACAGCAGGATACATGAGTACGTTACCCATTTAGGGAGTTTTTATAAATGTATGTAAAGCTACAACTCTGTTTTTAGTTTTGGATAAAGTGGGGAAAGGTTAAAGCCTGTAAGATATTTATTATAGCCGTTCGGGTTCCATTGAGGAAATTTCCTTCCACTTACTGTATGAAAGAAGTGAGACAACATATCTCTCTTGTCATAGGAAAGACTGAAAGATTTTCCATCATTTCCTGTTCCAGACACAAGCAGAAGTAAAATTCATTACTTTCAAACCTTACGACAATAGACTGTAGGATAAATAAAAAGTGTAAATCCCCCAGTGGAGACAGAGAAAGCAAAAAATTATTCAAACTTCAACATTTTGGCTGTGGATAAACTTTACAATTTCAGGATTTCCACTTTTCCAAGATCCATGTCAAAATAAAACAGCAATATCACAAGGTGAAATTTTAGCTTGACATGACCTCCTATCATTTACTTTTTGTTTTAACAGCGGCCTAAGTGTGATACTTTTGGCAAAGTCATCCTTCACAAAATTAGCCTATGATTTAATGGACATGCCTTTGTTCACACTATCAATCCGAGAGAAGCTATGGTCTAGATATGCTGGCGTGTGTGTTAAATTAACTTGGTCTTTTAAAAGTGTTCTTTTAAGTGGTCAAATCTTTTAAGGAACATTCCATGAAACAGCAGTCTCCACTATACTTAACTTTGGGTATCGCTAACAAAGCTCTGACTAAAAGCAGCTCTTACAGAGACTGGAAATACAGATCCAGTAGCTGTACATCTCTTCTTGTAGTGACAGGCACTCAGGTCATAAGCAAACACTGGCAACTGATGATGTGTCAGAGAGATGAGAGTCCCCTTTATCGCTCCACGTTTGCTCACCAAAGCTTCCTTGAGCAGCAGTTGCCCCTCTTTTGCACATATTAATAATAATAATAATAATAATAATAACTTAACTACACAATCTTATGAGACTTTTGGTTACTTATACAATATATATTCATAATTACAGGAAAAGGTTGGTATATTTACATCAAAGGACCTTGAAGTTAGGTAAATCTATTCACTAAAATCACATACACACTTTACACATTAATGTAAATTCAAATGTAATTTTCAAAATGTCTGCAGCGTTTATTAACCACTTCCCATCCGGCCCATGTACATAAAAGGACAGATGGGGGCAGTGCCAAAGCGGGTGGAAGTTAATAAACAGCCCCCGCATTCACTGCCTGTGCACGCCCCCTGGGAGAGCGCGGCACTGCAATCCAGTGCCCGACACAGCAGAACACCAATCGCTGTACAAGACCTCTGTGTGAGGTCCCGATTCATGTGATCACTGATTGGCCAAGCAGTGATCACATGAATAGTAGTAAACAAGATGTCACTTGCTGATATCATTGCTTACTACTTGTGAAATCTGTGAATGATCACAGAGGTCACATGGTATACAGCTATTCACAACAGCCTTGTACCATGTGACAAGCTGTGACCAATCACAGCTCTCACACTATTTCTCAATGGCTGCAAGAATGCAGCCAGAGAGGGAAGGAGAAATTATTGCTTTTACAGCCTTTATGGGTGTAAAAGCAATCAGCGTAAAAGAAAAAAAAATATTCATCACCTCCCACAAGTAGTACAGTGTCACTATGGTGACACTGTACCTGTACCGCTAGGGTGACAGTATGTTAAAAAAAAAAACCAAAAACAAACATAAATAATAATATAAAAAAAATAAAAATGTAAAAAACATTTTTGAAAAATTATAATTTTTGGTTATAAACTAATTTGGGTTATTTTTTTGTACTAAGAAGACAGCTGAATACATGTTGGCCCAGATTTATGAAGAACGATTATTTATTTGCAAAATTTTAAATACTTTTTTTTCAAAATGTTTGGAATTTTTAATTTATATAGCAAAAAAAATAAAAAAATCTCAGTAGTGAATAAATACAACCAAAATAAAGTTTTATCTCTCAAACAAATGCAAAAAAATTCATATGGGTAAAGTGTTGCATGTCCCGCACAATTGTCATTCAAAGTGTGATAGCGCTGAAAGCTGAAAATTGGCCTGGACAGGAAGGGGGTGAAAGTGTCTGGACTTGAAGTGGTTAAAATAATACCTTGTTATCCTGCTGTGAAGGTCCTTGTTCAGACCCTATAGCAGCCTTGTTCAACCTTTTCAACACAGGGGAACTCTTGAAAAAACTTTCTGAACTCAGGGAAACCCTGCTAAAAATTACTATATCTACAACTCATGATAAATTACTGTTATGATCAGCGGGAAGAAAGCTCCTTACACTTGTAGTTAGTGGGAAGAATTACCCCTTTACAGATAGCTAAAAACATTTGTGTCAGTGGGAACTTATCTGAGAGGCAGAAATCTCTCATTCCCCAAGGAAACCCTAGGGTTCCATTGAACCCAGATTGAAAATCCCTGCCAAGGATTAAAATGGTCTGCCCCTGAATCCCAACGGGTCTTCTGCATTGGCACAGGAAGGCTATAAGCACCTGTTACAACATATTACAAAGGCATGTGGCACTGTTGTCACCATCAGAAAAAAAACAATCAGAGAAGAGAAATGTCATAAAGTCATATCTGGAGCACATACATGTAAAAGGTGAAAACAGCAGCTTAATTACACGGGAATTGCTTACAATACAAAATGCTTTGGAAAAACAAAATGTCTTTTTTGGAATTTTTAGATATTATAGTAAATTTTTAGATATTATATTATATTTATATTATTTTATATTTTTTCCTTTTATATTGCACTATACGTAAATGTGCTCTGGATATAAATCTGTCCTGAGCAAAACTTCTCACAATAGCGGATCATATGCGATCTGATCTTTTATTAGTTGTGCACAGCATATATTCCTAAATCCATACCTAGTATCAATTAAGGAAATCTTCCAGTGTTACTGGTTTGAAAGGGGGAAGGCAGAAATACACACTTCATAGTCACT